TCAAATGTTTGATTTCAATTGTTATAAAAATGGTCTGTATTATGGCAACACATTTTTCTGTTGGTAGTTATAAAATTTTTTATCAGAACAGAATTGACATATTTGTTTTGATAACAGAAATAGAAAATAATAAAACTGTGTATTTTAAAAAAGTTTTTCACATTTTAATATCATGAAAATCACTACTTATAGCTTCAATAAAAAAGGGATTTTGCGTTTAGGTTTTGCACATTTTTTAATACTTAAGTTTTTATGCTAGTAGTGTTTACATCTTTTACTTTTATTTTATGAAAAGTGAAAAGTAACCTTTATAGTGTTGTTTTGGTGCTTTTTTTATTACACTTATTTCACTTTGTTAAAAAATAGTCTTTTATTATTTTGTTGTATATTTGTTACCTTTTTCATGTTCCCTTTTTCTATACATATATGAATAAAAGTTTTGGTTTACTGTCTGAAAATCTGTGTGTTTAATTTTGATTTATTTGCAGCCATCTTTATTTAAATTTCATATATTTAATATTCCTTTGAATCAATCAGCAATTTAAAAAAAAATTATCAATTTTTAAAACAAATTGATCATGAAAGTTTTAACTTTCTAATTCTGACTATTTAGTCACTTCAGATATTCACTTATCATGTAATAATTCAGAGTAATATTTTCTGTAATCAATTTTTTATATTATGAATTTAATATTGAATCTATGTGTGCACTATATATATGGACCCAAATTATGTATAAACTATTAAATTTTGATATAAATATTTAATTGATTTAATTTTTGGAATTTGATTACTATTCTTTATAATTTAAAATAATTTGCATCTGTGGAAATTATATTGCAAATATATTTAATAAATTGAAAATATGGTGAAATTTGTTATTTGTGGATCTTTTTGAGGATCAGCAACCTTTTTGTCTAAAAGTACAATGTAAATTCTTAAATTATTAGGTATGCAACAAAAAAATCCTTCAAAATATTAAAAGATTGTTTTAAAAAATGTAATTAGATATACTGAAGTTACAAATGCAAAACAATGACAAATACGATTATCTAAATGAGTATAACACCTGACATTGCTAGTCTTCAAAATTTGTTATAACTTGGAATATAATTAGAATTTCATGTCAAAATTTATCTAAATTGAAATTAAACTTTCTAATATATATTTAGTAAAAAAAAAAACATTTGGAATATTTATTAAATTTTATATAAATAAGAAAATCATGGAATGTTGCTTCAAATAAACTATTTAAAACAGAACGACGGCCCTAAATCTATATGTACAAGCTCCAGTGGTTACTCGCAAAGAACCTGAAAAAACTGATTGACCGAATACAAAAAAGAATTACATTATTACTTGTAGATAAAAAAAAAATTAGATGTCCTCCTTTATTTCATAAAATAATATAGGTACTTTAAACGGTAAAAAATGTATTCTGGAATAAAAAATTACATAACTAACAGTTAAAGCCAGTGGCATACATAGATTTCTATGATGAGGGAGGAGGGGTATTTTTTGAAAAACGCATGGAGGAAAGAGCTGAAATGTCATCTCTATGCTTATAAATTGGTAGGTCTTTAGCAGTGGTCTTCAAACTATGTTCCACAAGGCATATCCATGGGATCCACGAGTCAAAAAATATATTTTAAAAAATTATAAATGTTTAATGCACAAATTGGATTTTTGTTCTCCATGAAGTTTGTCTTACTACAAGCTATATAAAGATCATCTCAGTCACTAAAAAAAACTAAAAATTTATTTACACACCTCATTTTCTAATGCTTTTTTAACCTTTATTGCAAAAAATAAAATATTAGAACGTTTTGCTTTTTGTAGATTGTGAATATTCTATTTTGTTTACTACCCCTTGTTCCACGAGATAATTTAATACTCGTTTGTTCAATGTTTTGCAAAACTAAATAGTTTTCTAATGGAAAATGCACTTTTTTTTGCATTTGTGGAAAAAATACCTATAATAAAGGAGAGGGAACGACTAAGGATATATCAAGAGATTTGATGTTAAAAGTCTAAATTGAAGCAAGAACAGCAATGAAATTTTAGATTGCGAATTCATGTAAAATACACAGGATTTTTCACACAACTATAAACATTTTGATGCCATTTAGAACAATGTATTTTAAGTGAAAAATATTTATCAACATGAGTGGCTACAAATACAAAATATAAAAAAATTAAATTCTGAATATGTAATACAACTATACGGAGGGCTTCGACAGTTTTTGTAAAAAAATATAAGCATATATCAGTTGTATTGTGTTAGTACCATAATAATTTTTTTTTCATCATTTGGTGGGCACGTAAAAAAACAATTTAACTCCGAATATTATCCATCAACTAAAAACCAAAAACATGTAAAAAAATAATAAACACAAATACAAAGCATTCCAATTTTTTTAAGAACACAATGCTATTCCAGAATTCTAAGGGAAAAGAAAACTTCTCATTAATCGATTTTTAAAAAATTAAATGTTTTTCATCTTAATTGGTTTTCTTTACGATTCGGGCTACTTGATAAAAAATGAAGTAGAATCAGAAGAGTTGTTTTTTTCCATCCCTTCTCGAAGCCAAAAAAACGATAAGGCATCTAAAGTAAAATGTGGTAGGTAGGGATAATGAAAAATAAAATTATAATTCTCTCCAACGGAAGGCTTTGGTTATCTACCACAAAAATTAATAGTAAAAATCAATTATTGCCACCAGTAGAAAACTTCAAATACTCCTTTTATTATAATCAATTTCTATGAGAACCAAATTATTTTTAGGAGATAGGAAAAACATTGAATATAAAGAAGAATAAATGAGCAGGCTACACCTAATGAAAATCAAAAAACAGCTACTACCAAAGAAAGAAGAGGGTGAAAAAGACGAAGGACATTATAAATCGAGATTTTAGCGATTTTCTTCTACGAGAAGATATACGTTAGGGAGAAAACATTAAAAAAATCATTGAAGTGCCCAATATTTATAATAGACTCCAACGCAAAATGAGAAAGAAGGAAGGGGAGGGAAAAAAATAAAAAAATCTATTCACTTAAACAAAAAAATAATAATAATCGACTTTTTTTGGTTTAACGCACTTTCATCATATCCGAAACCTTTTTATCTAAGAATCATTAGACATCTAACATTCGCCCTTCTGCTTAAATTTGGTGTGTAAAAAAAAAATTAAAAAAATCTTCAAAAAATTAAAAAATCGCATTTAGGGTTGAAAAGGATGCATCAAATAGAAAAGCTATTTCCTATAGCAAAAATCCGAAGAGTCAAATTATTGCGTATAAGCGATAGAACGTTCTGAACAAACACCAGGTACCTTTAATTACCAAACCTCTGCCATTAGTAGAAAATTTCGAAAAGAAGGGTAGGGGGGGGATGAAGAAAGGATAGAACATGAGGTGAAAATAGAAAATCTGACTTCAAGTAAACTAGAAACCTCTCTACACCCTCCCCCCTTCCCGATATTCCTCGACCCTCCCTCTTAAAACGCTTTTGAGAATACGTATAAACTGATGAGTGTAGTGCTAGTTTTCCTCAAAATCGACCTCCCTTTTTTTCCCCGCCGTCTTTTGTTTTTTCTGTTTATCCGTAATTATAGTACCTTCTGAGGTGGCTTTTCAAGTATCGGCAAATAAGCTTAAGAGAAGGGGATGGAAGGGTGAGGAAAGGAGGGAAGAAGGGGTGGCAAAGTGTCACACCCTTCCTTGATGCGTTTTGCTTGGAGAGCAATTTGATTACTACAAATTCATTAAAGTTGTCAACAAAAATTACCGTACGTTGTACTCCTTTGCGAAGGAAAACAATTAGCAAATGTTTCATCCAGATTATGCGTTGCGATTGGACCTCTTTTAGTGGCTTGAAAAGTGTGTGAGGGGGTGCTGCGCGAGAAAGGGGTGGACGAAGTGTGAAGGCAATGCTGTTTGACATTGCAGTTACGGTTTTAGTAAATGAAGAAGGAAGATGTGTGTAGGGAAAAAAAATAGTTTTCCTTATTAGGAAGTGCTCTTTAGTAGCATGAGTTAAGCTGGAGACTAAACGGGGGTCATGGAAAATAATACGACTACTTATAATTCGTGTTATTTTCCAACTTCTTGGTGATCGTCTTTGAAAACCTTCCATGTGTTTCGAGGATAATTTTTTAAAAACTGTCATCAATTTTGTCGTCGTTTAGTTGTTTATTTAATTTTGGATATTAAATAGAAAATGAAAACTTATGACCTATTTAATGCACATGTTCTTTTATTCTGAATTTACATTTTACATCAATGAAGATACTAACTTTATTACTTTTAAAATACATAGTTAACTTACGTTAATTATACAAAGACTGTTCAAACAATCAGCAAAACGATATTTAGCAAAAGCTTCTTTTAAATACTTTGTATAGCTTAATTTTTAAAATTAACCCTAATTATTAGTAGTTCACTACGTATGGTAATTTCTTCTTTCAGATCACTTAAAAAAGACATATTTGCACCGTCTTCATTAGCTTGATTAACATATATAATTTAAATTAAAAAAGCAAGACTCTTACAGAAAGAACTCTAAAAGCAATTTTACTCAGAAGTTATAAAATACCGTTGAGCTGGTGTATACATTTAATTTCATATTGTGTCAATATTTTTATTCTGTGTCAATAGTTTCATAAACTCACATTCATTTCCCAGGTTTATATTTCTGAAAATATCTAAACAAATAATGTATAAAAAAATTAAGATAATTCTACTTAGATTCACAAAGAAAAATTTATTTTATATAGTTACTTTTTATTAAATAGTTAAAATTTATATAAATATGTATATACATATGACAGAATCACAACAGTAAATGACAAAACAGAAAGCGATTTTCCTCACAATTTTTATTTTCCTTTTTATATATGATATTGGAGTTTTTTTTGTTTCTATTTATTCATTAATTAAATTTAATTATTCTAATAGAATAATATAGTAAAAAAGAAATCACAATTTCAGAAATTAAGCCATCCCAGGTGGTATTTGAAACCACAGCCTTTGTATTAAAAGTCCAACACGATATCCATTGCTCTACTGGGGTACAGCGAACGATTTTTCATTCCATATATGCTGTTGGGCTATTATTTTTGATTGTTACTATTTACGCATTTTTAATTTAATTAATGAATTAATATCTGAAAAAACTGTATTAATCTCAAGTGTCATCCACTACAAGTTTAAAATAATGTATTTGAACTTGAATGAACGAATAGATAGTATTTTATTAACGATTTAATATTTGAACATATACATTTAAATACATATAGGAAGAGTCGAACTAATAGTAGGAAATGAAAAAGTGGGTTACATTTTCCACATTAGAGTATTATGGCGTTCTTAAATGTAATCACGCGCGCGCTAAATTTGTTTACTTTCTCTATTTAAAAAAATGATAGCTGCCAACCACCATCGTACCTGTTCTTGGATTACTTTTATCATATGATGGTTCATACTTTTCTTCCGATATTATACGGCATCACGAATAACTCAACCTCATTTAGCATATAACTTACCTTTTATTTGTAAAATTACTTAAATCTATTTATTTCAAGTTGAGTCCTCTTTCATATTACCTTTTTAATAAGAGATCTGTGCAAGCATTTGGTTAAGCAAAATGAGCTATTATATTTCTTTTTAAGATTTGTGTTTCGCAACAATGTTGCGCAGGTAAAGTAAGAGGCATCGAAAAATCAGTCATTTTCATAAAATCAGTTTTTTTTATTTATCCTTCAAATTAATATCAAGAAGTGTCAAAAACCGAGGGAGCGGTCAACTTAATGGCTATCCTAAATATAACTATAACAAATAATTGGATCACTTACTTTCATACGATCCAATATATTAACACTGTAGTCAGGGTTTGAGTGGAATAACTCGAACGAAATATCCTCTTTCTGAACTCCGAGGGTTTCAGATATTGACTCTGATAATATAACTGTAATAGCAGCCTAAATATCAACTAATACACTTACTTCGCTATTTAAATAGCACTCAAATCAACATAAGTCATGGTTTATAATCATGCAACATAAACGGTTTTATAATCATACAATAGTTAAAGAAGCATTTTCCCCAGGGACGTCGACTTAAGACTTCTTGAGGCCATGGGCCCCTACACAAATGTAGGCCCCAACTATGATCCTTAACAGTACATAGCATACGTTGTCAAATACTTCAGCAAACAATAAATCGAAACAAATAAATGTAACCAGCTCGACCGACTGCCGCCTTTTGACTGCATGAGTAATGATGGTGAATGGTGGTAGGCCTAGTCCTGTAAGTGGACGATGGTCATCGCATGTAGACAGTTGACAAATCGTTCGAAATTCCCAGTTTCTTGGAGAATACAACTGGAAATAACATTTGACCGTGGAAATTATTCGTATTATGATTTTTTTAAGGTTGAGTCGAGAACGAAACGAGGCCCCTATTGCGGACGAGGCTCTTGCCTTAAGACGTCTATGATTTCCCCCCCCCAAGAGGATTAGTAAGAACGCGAATAAGACCCGTCACGTGTTAAGTAAATCTCCATTTCCCAGTGGCGTAACGGAGAACATTACAGCCTCCCTGCAAAGTCAGGTTTTGGGCCCCAAGCCGAATCTTACAAAAGACTGCAAAACCATAAGATAACGGATATTTTACGGCCCCTAGAATCCTAGCCCCCCCCCCCTCCCTGCGATGCAGGGATGTACCGTACCCCACTGCCACTCCCCCCTTCCTAAAAAATTATGGACCAACAATATTTTTGTGAATTTAGGTCTGTCCTTATGAAACTTTATCGTGACTATGAGAGTCGAATGGTCATGACAGACGTTCCTTCAGTACGGTCTCGTGTTCGAGACAGGGACACATTGAAAACTCACCGTAGAGCTGCTGAAGCACATTAAGTGTGCCAAAGCGTTCACTTTGGCGTAATTTGGAGAGTAAAGTACCGGCACAGGTGTAGTCCTCGTCACTCGTCCAAGGTTCGAAATTAAGAGATTCATCTTCAATAGCTCTTATGTGACAGTTCTGTGGTGGAGAGGTAGTGTACCTACTCCGTAAAAACAAGATTGCGGGTTTGATTTCGACTGGGAGTCGATAGAGTTTCTGGATGCGAAAATCGTATATGCACGCATGTCATATGATTATATGCGTCCATAATCATATCAATTTGGCTCTGGTACTCTTGAAAAAATTAAATCACGACTGTCCGCCACACGGGACTAATAAATATGAATCTTGCTTTTAAAACTTAACAACATTAATTTTGCGTATAAAAGATACAGACAAATTCCAGGAGCTTTGTGCGGTGAGAACCTCTCGTAGAGAGGGACAGTACAGGAACTGAGCATTCCACACAGAACATATTACACAAACAACTCGAAGCAAACAATATATTGCCATCGCGCAAAAGATAAATACAGTCGATGGCGTTGGTGAAAGCACGACAATAAAACTAATTATTATACAGAAGATACATATGAAATACAAATTACAAATAATAATAATAATTGGATAGAAATTAAATATTATATATAAAAGAACATACACACATAGCACATTAAATAATAAAAATACAGTTCGAATAATAATAAATATATAATTTGAATAATAATGAAATACAGTTTGAATAGAATACAACTTCATCCAAACAACGGCAATATTTAGCATCCGACGAGAACTTGAATTAAAATTGAAGCGTGCGTCGAAATTTGGTAGCGAAGTCCGCCACTAGAGGATGCCACCACAAAATGGTTTTCACATTCGAGAACTGGTCAATATGCAGCCCATTGGGGAAAAATTTGCTCTTATGGTACTTCAGAATGGGACGTTAATAAAGTATTAATCAATAAATCATAAATTTTATCAGATTTAATAATATAATAAACCAGAAAGAGAGAGCAACTTATATTTTATTTTATAAATTAATATTAAAACTAAAATCAAAATCTTGCCAACATTATGCAAAACATAAACGCATACATATGCAATTAGTAATTCCATGAAAAGAGAAAGAGAATATATACCCCACTAAATAATTCTCTCTAGTTTCTCTTGCAAATCAACCAATAAAGAATTGTCATATAATGACTGCCAAATACAAAGACTGCTATTTTTACATAAAAGAAATATTTATATATTAAGTATTGGAATCAAATATAGTATCTTAAAATAAAAATTTATATTGAGGTATTTATTAATCCAGTATCTAATGCTTATCATACTAATGCAATCCATTTCGCACAAATTAATAAATATAATAAACATGTAACTAAAATAAAATATTTAATGGTAATTAGTAATTCGCCATTTGTAACTTAAATCTATCGTGGAAGGTTTTTTATACGCTTGATTCGTTGACATATATTTTTTAACTTCATCTTGTGATTTTTTTTTATAAAAATTCCATCGCTAACTGTGATATTTTTTACATCATTTTCGCAAGTTGGAATGTTATAATCACGAGCTTTTAAAGTATGATTTGATTTGCTTTTCAAAGTTTTATTTTTTTTTAAAATTCCGCAGTTTTTTATTGTGCTATAAATATTACAGCATCCTATTTATTATAATTTATTAAGAAATTTTTGAAAATTTTATTAAAAATTAATAAACATTTATTGAAATAAAGTACATTTACATAAATAGAATACTTGTAAAGTGAGTGAATATCAACGTCGCACTGTTCAGCTACATGAGGGCTTTTTGGCGATGGACTTCGTAAGGTGGAACTATGGTCAAGTAACGAGGACGACTCCTGAGCTCTGTGGCACTCCCTCTTCTAAATACCACACCTTTGAGCTCTCGACAGATTTAACGTGCATCGCTCCCCTACACGGCGAGTCTTCAGTCGTACTGGGCTCAAACTTATGAGACGCCAGCCATGAATCCGTCACCTTGACCACTGTAGGCTACCACAGCCTCAAAATACTTGTAAAATAGATACTTTAAAAATTACTTACTTTCAGAATCGTTATACGGTAAATATGTAATGGTTCAAATAAGTATTTCCTTCAATGAATATTTTTGAAAAGGGCATTGTTTGTTATTTTATGACATTTTTCAAAGAAACTATTTAAAAAAAAACAGTGTAAATTCATTAAAAAGTAAATTGTTTTTTTAACTATTTTTCTCATTTTTGTTTCGTTTATTTAAAAGTATTCGAACTGCAATAAAAAATAACTTTTTTTTTTAGAAAAGAACAATAAAAAGACTTTTTAAATTATCACTTAAAATCCTTCTCAGTTCAACAACAAAAACATTTTAAAGAGGAATGAAAAAAATCAAAGTAACTCTTACAGCTTATCCCCAATCACTTCAATGGATTAAGAATTATTAGGATGGTCCCTTAAATAGCCCAGCAATTTACACTCCTAGGTTGTGCTGAGTTGTTGAGAAGTCGCTTAAGTTTTCTCACATAAAAGTTTTTTTCCCCTCCACTTTCACCAAAGCCATTCTCATTTCTGTTCTCGAGTTTTCTACAGCTATTGAGAGTCGGAGTCGTTTTATAGATTGTGACAAGTTCAGAGCCACCCGCGGTTACAGTGAAGGCGAATACCAGTTAAGACTCGAAGATGAAACTCTTTCTTCTTCTTTTTTTTTTTTTATCATTCCAATACTGCTTAATAGGATTTGAGTTTTGCTAGTTTTTACTTATATTTTTGGTAGGAAGACTGATTATTGAAAAGGTGGGAATGAGAGTAAAAAACACATGTCACTTTTCATGCTGTGTTTGTGCATTTATTTATTTTTTTTATTTTAGGGAGTCTGGAAGAATCACAAAAGTATAAAAAGGGTGGACGGAAAAGTTTTTAATGGAATAATTGAATCAGACTTTTAATTCTCATGTTCTAGTGAAAATGGGTGTGGATATTTTTTTTATCCATCAGGGCGTTTGCCTGTGGTCATATTTTTAGATACGCTTTCGCTTATTGTTGACTGAAATGTTTTTCCCACTAATGAAATTCAAAAGGGAGACGGGGGCTGACATGTTATAAAAGTATTTTGGTCTTTTACTTCCGAGAAGATGCACACAGAAAGCAAATTTTATAATTTTTAAAT